AGTTTCACCTCAATAAAACAAACACCCCTGTAACTATATACTCAACCAAGGGGGCCGCAGCTCATGAATGGCGCTCAATCATTCCCTCTCCCTCTCATCTCGTCCTTTTTTTCACTGCCCCAGCCTGAGGAAAACAACACTTTCAGGGCACAGTAAATCTCGCTTGACCCCGCCCAGTCGGGGGAGATCACGTAATACACACTAATCCTACTCAGAATTAGTGGGGGCTCTAGGGAGATGGTATTAAATGCGCAAGTGTGTGTGCATTTCTGTGTGTGAGTGTGCGAGTGTATCGAGGTAGAGGGGAAGGAGAAGCCGAGGGGTTGAAACTGCTGACCTGGGTTGACTCACGCTGGGAGTGTTTCTGTTGGCCGGGAACACGAAGGAGCACAACAGGAGCTCTGGAGCTCACCGGGCCAAACAGACCTGCAGGTCACTTACATGCACATATGATGGATATTTGCAGGGAAGTCATCCAACTAGTGGGCGAGACAGATACACTACACTTTAAAAAAACGAATAAATGGCACAACCACAACTGTTTTAGCGAACATGTGTAAAAAGGTTTGTTGAAATCGTTGTTTATTTTGATGGGCGGTGTGGTTAGCAGCGGTTAGCTGTCGCAAGAAGCCTGGAAAAGGGTAGACTTTAGACTTCCTCCCAGTCTGAAGACATAAAGCTTGGGTTATAGAGACGATAAATTCGTAAGTGTGAATGTGTCTCTATGTGTTGGTCCACTGATGCGCTGGTGACCTCTCCAGGGTGTATCCCACCTCTCGCTCATTGTCAGCAGGGATTGGCTTGTTTTCAACTGTCACAAATCACAAATACTGATTAAAGCAGTTTTTTTAGTGTCACAATGACAATGGATGTTGTTAACCTTTCTAAACACCAATGTAAAGGATGTGTTTATCATAAATCACTGGTTAAGTGCAACGATTGTGAGCATCCATGTCTTTGTCCTTACACGTTCCTGTGTCAATAAAAAGTATATTAATGTGTGTGTGCACATTAAAGTGGTTGCAGCAGCACCTTTAGCTCAGGGGCCTTGAAGTGCTCCTGAAACATCACACACACACTCACACTCACACTCACACACTCTCACACTCACCATTAGCTCTGGCCCTGCACTAATGCCCTGTGACACCTCCCTGGTCACTGAAAGCAGATCCTGATGATGCGCTGTCAGAGTGAGCAGCGTGAGGTAACCTCATACTCTTGACCCAGGGGAGAGCAGAGGACAGCTGAGCTCATATTAAGCTGTCACTTCGCTCACATGTAAAAACAAATGACCGTGCTTCCTGTGAGAAGTCTTTGTTTTCATCAGCGTCCACAGTAACGTTGAACCAAGACCGTTCCATCTACCCATTCGTTTTTCTGACGCTTATCCAGGGTCGGGTCGCCGTGGCAGCGGGTCAAGCAAAGTAGCCCAGATTCTCTCTCACCGGCAACATTTTCCAGCTCCTCCTGGGGATCGCAGGGCGTTCCCAGGCCAGATGAGACATAATCTCTTCAGTGTGTTCTGGGTCTACCTCAGGGCGTCCTACCAGCAGGAAGACCAATACTGGTTCCTTTCTAAAACACATTGCCTTGTACTGGTTTCATAAAAATCACCTGACCGTTATTGAAAGTATTTATATTAAAGTGTATGGGTAAAATTAAGGGTTAAGGGTTTGGTAACACATTTTTTTAGCAATCATTGCTACGTTTTCTTTCAGGATTTGAAAGTTGAATCCCTAATATCAGTAGCAGAAGGCAAAAATCCTCAGTGTCGGGCTGTAATCTGTAATTGTAGAAGAAGCTAAAAAAAACAGGAAATGTGTTATGTGGTACATGGTGACCTCAGCAGTCACAAAAACAAGAGACATTGATTTTTGCCCTAACCTATCATTACTGATGAGCACTGTGGGACAAACACACAGCTTTAACTGTAATGCTGCTTTCCGTCATTGCTGCCTGTCATCCATTGCTATGCAGCCAATGTCAGTGTTCCTCATCTGTATGCAGGTTCAGGCTGCAGGCTGAAAATATGGATGTAACTTTGTATTTAGAGCGAAGTACAGGCTCTAAATCTCTCTGTCATATATTGCTCCAACAATAGAAGCATTTTTAGTATTTCACGTATGTTTGTATTCATCTTCACTCTGCAGGGTCAATTCAAGTCCAGAGGTGTTGATGGTTAAGCAAATAAAATCCTTTCATTCCCCTTCAAACTCTTTAAAGGCAAATGAACAGCATTTATAAAGCGGGGTAATAACAGCACTGTGACATGTCCTCGAGGTTTATGTTTCCATCTCCTTCAAGGGTAGTTTTATTAATTAAAGTACTTTAGTGACGGAGCTTGTCAGGAACTTAACACCAGCTGATGGCTGGTTTCCAAAAACCAAAACCTCTTGTAAGTGATATCCTCTATCAAGATTTTTTTTAAAACTGCCTTTCTATATGTTGAGGCCTCCGACTGAGTTCACCTCTCGACTGACAGTCAGTCTGTCTGCGATGAGCTTGTTGACTTGAGGGCGATGGTTCAGTGCCATCCTGGCAAGAAATGTACTAATGCAAGTTACTGCCATTAAGCAAGGCACTAAACCCTAAGTTGCTTTTTGCAGACATGAACTCCGCACCTTGTTTTTTTGCATGAGAAGAACGCAGTGGGAGATTGTCAGACACGTTCACAACAACAGATGTGTGGGGCATTCAGCGAAGAGGTGGCACATCATGCACGAGGTATGACATAACGAATCAATGCCACCTTGGAAGTCACATGTTCTTGTTTACAGCACACCTACGTCAGCATCACCCAAATCTCTCACATCTTGTTTTTCCAAGGTAACAATCTTCCATTGCTTCGACTTCTTTTTCATCCTGAGATATTTGTATTCTCCTAGTATCGAGTCTGTCAAGGAACCGAATGCTTATTCCTGCAACCACGACTTCCAAGGTCAGGTATGCTTACCACCATTGGGGTGCAAATTTAGGAAATCCTCCAATGAGTTGTATCAGAGAAGGTACAATCAAACTATGTGTCCATTCAGGTTGGAGGACTTTTGTGCAGGAATCCTCAAGGAAAAATGCCGGTGTGTAAAATCAGTGAAGCTCCCCTTTAAGTCTACTGAGGCACAGCTCTTAAAATCAATGGCTCATGTCAGAGGTCAAGTTTAAACTCAAAGCTTTAACATGAAGTTGGAGGAACATTAATTCCAGTAGAGGTCAACACTTCAACTTCTTTTGAAAGCTAAAATCAGCTACACATGTCAAACATCTTTCTCCCTTTCCTGCTTGTCTACTTTCGTGAATGAAGAAATGCAAGTGTTGTATGAGGTCATGTTGGCTGCTGTTCATTCCCCCCTCTCCTCTACTGTGCAGTAGCACTGCAGCTTTAGTCTTGGCATCAATCACCGGCAGGCAGATACGCAATCTCACTATGCAAACAATTAAAGGCTGCTCCTCTGCACTCAGAACTACTCACTCGTGTTGCTGTGTAGCGGATTAACCCAATATGCTTACACATTAACCCTGGAGACACATCGATGAATGGCATTCCTGAGTTCTGTGTTTGCTAAACCGAGGGCAATAAAACCCAGTGTAAAGCTACTCGCTGCAGAGATTGTTGTCGTGCTGGTTACCTTTGAACTTGGCTTCTCAGAGGAGGCTTTCAACTTGACACTGATTCTAAGAACCCAGAAAGAATTCGATTTTGGGCAATTAATGGCATTGGTCTGTAATTTAATTTGTTACCAGCCATCCCACAATATCAACACTGACCCCCACATAATGATTTGGGTCAAATCTGAATCCATAGAAGATCTTTGTGCGGCTCATTGATTCAATCGGCCCCTCTTGACTCTGCTCTCTCTTACACCGACACACACTGTATTCTCAGACAATATCATTTGGTCTTTTTGAACAGAAAGAAGAAACACATTCGGGACGCATTCTAACAAACACACTTAATACCAGGTCTGAGCACGACCTGTGCAGATGAAGAAATGCCACAAAGGCATGCATGCATTTCAGCGAGCATTGCCCAATTCTTTGTAAGTGACTCGAGTGTAAACATCTGTCAGGTGACGTGACAGTTAGCGATACACCCCCTTCTATAACACTCTTGACAATTTGTAACCTGTATTTGCCTTCCGGACTTGCAGCATTATCCACACAATTCAGCTGATATTGAAGAAAAACAATGTGTAGTTGTAAACTTGTCAAAGACTCTTGACTGGCCTGCGTTTACGTGACAGGTCCCTGAAGAAGAAAAGAATATGAGTGGAATGTCTTGAGTGATATGAAAACAACCAGTTTCCGTCACAACCTTCAGCTGGGCCTCCACAATGTCTGCCTTCAGACAATCTTTCCACTGTGCAGGAACAAAATGGTCACAATCACAAAAAACAAGAATCTGCAACTGCGGCCACTGATAGCCTGCTGGCTGCTCGCAAATAGAGAGCTCCTCTGTGCACTGCGTAATCCCCACACAGCTGGACTGAGGGTGCAATAAACCTCTGAATGGGGGCAGACACAACTCAGGGCCGAGCATAGAGACAGTCGTGGCTAAGCAGTGTTGAGTAACTAATCATAGAAGCCATACAGAAGCAGGAATAAACACATTTAATCAGGCAAACTGCCGAAGATATGAATGCAAACAAAAAAACATTGAACGCATCAGCCCACACGTTTTGGTAACTCGAAATGCCTACTGATGTCTAGCATGGAATCATCTGCACACATCAGCCAACTCCAAACTTAAAACTGTGCCTCTGCTCTTGCCCAACCGGTTTTCCATTGAAATCAGTTATAAACACAAACTCCGGACTTAATCGCTCCAGATCAAGTCTCTGTCAATCTGTCTTTTTACTTGATTGTTTCAGGTTTCTACCGGGTCAGAACATGTTTTTGCTTTCAAGTGTCTTATGTGACTTGAGGCTGCCACACTGCAAATTTTCATTACCAACAGAACATATACACATACATTTTTATAGAAACCAGGATTTTTTTTTTCTTACCTCGAGTACTGGTCCTGCCCCTAAGATTATCTGCTCCACTCCACTGGCAAAACCCTTCTGGCTGAGAGCAGTCAGGTGATGAATAAGGAAGTTTGTGCTCTGAGTCTTTCCAGAGCCGCTCTCCCCAGATATAACAATGCACTGATTCCTCTGTCTCTGCAGCATGGTGTGGTAAGCCACATCCGCCACAGCATAAATATGTGGCTCCAAATGTCCCAGAGTATGGTTATCATACATCTTCACGTACTTGGGGTTGTAGATGGGCAGGAACTTAAAGGGATTAATGACGATGAGGATGCTTCCGACATAGGTGTAGATTCTCTCCTGGCGGTAACGTGAGCGCAGGTTGTCCAGCAGCGAGCGCTCGTTGAGCTCCGGCAGGCGGCACAGATCTGCCTGGTCACCCTGGGATTCAGGCTGTGGCAGCAGTCCACGCTCCACCATGCACCTGCGCTCCTCTGTGACCTGCAGCCACATCTGGAGGCTGCCGCCATAGTGAATTGAACCATCCAGGTTTTTCTGTCTGAGCAGGAAGCGGTAATCCTCGCCGCCAGATAGTGAGCGGTGCTCTAATGCCACACGGGGCCAGAGCATCATCCGCTGCACAGGACAATCGCTGGGGTTCAGAATCCATTCTTCCCCACCAAACTCCTTCACCTCAGCTAGAACATAACACTTGGTGCGGTCGAGATGGAGGCGTCCGATGACATGTTCGATGGCATCAGCCGCTGTGGTGGTCTTGCGGGCACTGATCGGGCAGTAGATGGTGCCCTCGGCCAGGGCGCCTGGGTAGATGCGCACAGTGAACTCCACATTCTCGAAGCGCTGCCTCCGGCCCAGGGTGCCGATGCCACCAACGCCATCACGAGCACTCATGGCGGAGCAGGAGTTCCCATGAGCAGCAGCCCTGCACTGGCACGTCCTTCACTGGGCTGGAGGGACCACAAGTTCAAGACATCACCACTGCAAAAAGAGAAAGATGACAAGTAAGGATCTATAATCTGTTAGTTTCAGAATTTAGAACACGACTCGCTCCGGACTGCGTACAACAAAAACACACAACTCTGAAGTAACTCAACATGAATTAAAGAATAAAAACATTCCTAAAAATACAAGATCTAGCAGAAATTTCAATCTATTAATTACAGATTTATTAACACTTCAGTTAAAAAAAAAAAAGCAAATCATCAAAATGTATTTGTTGGAATTTGGAATGGTTTTGTATTTTATCTTGAAAAATTAAAAGTCTGTATATGTGGCGATTGATTTGATCTTTTCAGTTCAAATAACTCTGATTGTAAACTGCAATGAATGAATGAATCTTCCACCATCTACTGATCTAAGGTCGAGCATTAGATAACAACACAGCTGAAATCTGACAGAACACGAAATTAGTCCGATTACGACAAGAAAAAGGCCTCATATGCGATTATGTAATCGAGTAAAGGGCCCAAATATTTTTGGGCTTGAACTCGACATGCATACTCAGAGGATGAAGGATAAGTCATGAGGATCTACAGGATTACCATTAACACACATACACAACTCCTAAGCACACACACATACACACAAACTATGAGAGTTTGTGTGTTTGTGTGTATGCCACGACCTGCAGCTGCCATCCTCTTCAGTGAACACACAATCAAGCCATTCACTCACTTTAATACACAGCGTTGTGACATCATGGGGTGAGTGGAGGCCACGGATACTGAGAGACACTTTATTGACTGAGCTACTGACGAGAACTCTGCTGCTGCTGATCCCTGATTCCTCACAGTCGACAGAATCTGCACCCGACACACCACAGTTTATCTGAATGCAGCAATTTACATCAGTTTTTTTTGGCCCCAGCAGATTGATATTGGCCCCTGAAGTGTCCAGTGGTAGAAATATCAATCAACCAATCGATTTTATTTGTATAGCCCATATTCACAAATCACTATTCCAGGGCTTAAGAAGAAAGAAGAGCCCTGTACATAATTTGTATGTAATCTGCGCATTGCGTCTCCAAAAGTGCAAATCAAAGAGCTTTTAAAATAAAATATGTATCCGTGTGACGTGTAGAAGACACTGCTGTTCCTGGCTGTGAGTGAACGAAGCCCCACGCTGCATTCAGAGGACAACGACCTGTGTCAGATTTAAGATACTTTCTTTGTTCAACAGAGGAGTCAAACCATAGATAGAGCATACATTGCAATAGCTGATGCATTTGTCCTTCTGCATAACCCAGAAGGCATTGCAGCCTTGTGTATCATTAGTCGGAAATGTTCAGTGCATTCCAGGAATCATTATGCGACGTGCTGTACTTTGTCTTCATGTTGTTCCAACTCTGCTTCATCTCATCGACTTTAGATACTGATTTTCAAAGCACTCGGGAATGGGCTTCAACTTGTTGCCATCAGCTGTGACGTTCTCTCAGAGCAACAGAAGGACCGCAGCACCGTGGCACTAACGTAGCACCAATTCATAAAGGTGTTGTGGCTGCTCTATAGGAATGCTAGATATTGCTGGTAGTTATACAATGCAACTGCTACGACTGCCAGATCAGGGATTCTGCCGTTATTAGTCACATTTTATTCTAAATATTAATGATTATTTCTTAAATCGTCCACGAAGCTCAAATCAAAATCATAGTAATAACTCTGGATGTGTTTACGTGTGAACAGGCATCACTGAGGAGAGAGACCAACAATGGCAGGTATCAACTGACTGTCGTGAATGTATTCCAGGCCTCTGTGATTACACCGTGTGTCTCTGTGTGTGAGGGTGTGTTTTGAGCCCTGAGTTAGGGCCTGACGCCTGGAACAGATGGTCAGCTCGCTGCTTAAAGGATAGGGAGGGGGGGGGGGGATTTATGGTGGAGGCAGTGTCGGACAGAGCAGGGACATGCAGACGAGCTCTCCGTTTACAATCACATGAGAATAATCAACCCACTCACATCAACTCCAGGACACCACGACAATTCTTAGCAATCACAGCACATCATCCATTAGCAACTTTCCCTGTTACCATCTTACTTCTGTTAGATTTACAGACGAGTGCATTAACCACAGCCGGGAGTGGACCAAGGTGACATGAGGGGAATCCTGCTCAGACTGGGGGAGGGGATGACGGAGGTAAAGGTAAATGAACTGGGACAAATACATTCGTGATCAATAATAAAGGAAACGCAAAAAGATATTGCAGCGAGAGCTTCTAACAACTGACAAGTGAATTCAAATGTTCTGATCACTCTTCTCGGTTGTCTAATGTATCTGGGTTAGGTTAATGATTGATTGACAAGGAAGCACGAGAACAGAGTGACGTAAAAGTCCTCGTCTTCCTTCCAGAAACTGCTCTAATTGTTTGTTGTTGTTCAGTAAACACACTTCACCATGTTGTTAGTGTTGCTATTTAAAACCACATTTGGGCCCATATCAGGGCTCTGGATCAAGGTGTGACACATGGTGCAGTTACCCTGTGTGTGTGTGTGTTATACAGAGTTTTTTATCAAGGGATGCATAAAAAAACTCATCACTGTTCTTAATCAATCAAATTGTTAATGGATGATTGATCAATAATAATAAATTATTAGCAGCGATGGCTGAACCAGGTTAAGTGAATCATTAAACACCAGCTCAACATGAACAAACTGCCAAATGTGTTACTGTGACAAAAACTATTGTTTACACACAGACGCACGCACGCACGCACACACACGCACACACACACACACACACACACACACAGTCTATTCTAACCTTAACCACGCAGGCAGACCGCTGCATTGTAACTTTAAGAAAACAACACGAGGTCTGATGTATAAGAGCCAGAGGTTGGTGCCCTGGAGGAAGTGACAGAGCAGAAGGAGAAAACCTGCGGCGGCCTCGTCTCTGTTCTCCTGAAACCACTGAACCAGAAACAGATCTGGTTACATCACCTGAATGGGCAGCGATGAAGAATAACAGTCAGGTAACGTGACCTGGACTCAGACTTTTCCCAAGACGTGGTCGATCAGAAAAAACTCAGTCAACGACAAAACATCAACAAACAGCTGGATTTAAATTCACTTAAATTCTGGATACTTACATTTTTTTTTAACTTGCAACTTGTTTGTATTTTCAGAGTCATGTTGAAACTTATCTGCACTGAAAACCAAAGTTTGAGAGGAAACTATTCCCAAACTATTTGTGTTCTTTGTGTAATGTGAACATTGTCAGAGAGATGCTTGTGTCCAGGTCCCCCCTGACAGGAAACCAAGCAGAGGTCCAACCATGTGAGTCACACTCTTCAATGGCTGCCATTGTTGCAGAGAAGTGAAGGATCAAGTTTGGTAAGCTTTCTACGATGTGAAGTCATCTTTCTGAGAGACTGTGCATGTGCGTGTGCATGTGTGTGTGCGTGTGTGTGCGTGTGTGTGCGTGTGTGTGCGTGTGTGTGTGTGTGTGAGTCACTGTCATCGGGGCTTAGCTCATGTGTTCCGGCCTCATAATGTAGTGGTGGCTCTTTATTGTACCTTTAGCCGCTGGGAATGTGTATGCGTTGTACTAAGGCGTGTGCGTTGGCGCTGGTCTGTGAACTCTCACATGTAGTCTGCACATTTTTGTGGGTTCATTTGTTCGCCTGCAGGCTCCGTGGTGCCAAATCTAGCTGCTGTGTTTATTAGCTACATGTCATAGGACCACACTGCTAGTTTCTCACTGTTGTGCATTTGCTTTCTATCAATTATAGAAATGAGTTTGCAATCGTGTGTTGATAAAAGCTACAGTTCACATCTTGACTGAGGCTGTTAGCTATAAACAATGCTAAAGCAGTTATTATTTTTTATTTTGGCCCCGTCTGTGAAATTATTTCCGTGAAGTTGACGCGCTTAGAGCGTTTTCACACCAAGTCTGAAACAAGGTCCTAACCAAGGCTCATTTTTACTCCTCCACCTCTTTTTCTTCTTCTATTTTTACTGCTCAAATTTCTGCAAATGGTCAGAAACTACGAACTATCACAAGAAAATGTCTTCAACAAACCAAACCCTGGTTAAGTCCGATCTGGGCCGGGACCCTTATATTACAAAAACAGTGGCTCTTTTATGTGCTGGTCATCAGAGTTGTTGGTTGTGTTTATAATTAGTGAGGAGAGACACAGTCTGACCTTCATGTTCAGATATTAGCAGAGTCATATAAAGAAAGGTGTGTCATCTTGTATTTAATGTTTGTCACAGTCTTTTTTTAGGTTTGGACGCATCATTGTACTGATATGTTATTTGTACAGGAGGTAATTTATACTCCTCGGTTTGTCTGTCAGCAACATAATGTAAATGAAAAATATTTTAACAGTATTTAACTATAGTTTCTTTAGAACAATGAGAACATATTTCAAGTTCAGCTCTTTGACTTCTATGACTGTTGTCTTAAAGAAGGTCCAGGTCATATTGGACAACACTGACAAAGCCCCTGAGCTTCTACCTTCAAGAATAAGATCATCACGTGTGAGAGACGCACTTACGATGGCAGCGCATTGCAGCACAGATAAGACAGAGAGAGAGTGACTCTGCTGAGCAGAGTGAATACCACCACACAGAAACCCATTTCCCCACTTTTAATAGGGCGGCTGCCTTCAGAAACCGGCCCAACCCCCTCCCAGCTACAGGCAGAGGAAATTACACTTCAGACATAAAACACCTACAGTAGAAGCAGTCATAAAACCAACCAAAGAAAAGGGGATGGGCACGAGCCACTAAAAACAAAACACTGACCTTTGTGAGGAATGTGTGGTTATGAGTCGTACAGTAGAAATTATGAAAGTGGAGGAAACAAAACAATACCTGCAGCATTTCCAGGAAACAACAACTGAACTTTTCAGACAGAAACAGAAAAAGCTAAATGAAAATAAGTGCAACTAAACTGTGATTTCTGCCATTTTCAGACATGGAAAACTGTTTTCGGAGTTTTCCTCCATGGCCAGAAATGTACAAGTGACAAGTTTCTAGA